GTTTTTAGATCAGTATCTTTGCCCTATAGTGCTTTTTAAACATTCCATTTATTATAAGCTGAAATAGGTTGAATTAAGAGAAGAATTGGGTTGCAATGACTGGAAGGATGGCACTGTTAAATCTGTATCACTGTAACTATTTTAATTCCACAGCCCAAAATCACAGAGCCTATGGCCCAGGTAGGCAGAGGCAAGCCAGGCTCCCTATGTAACACATGCTGACAGTTTATTATCTTATAAGGCTGCAGTGAAGAGTTGCGGTTCTGGTGTAAATTGCAGGGGGTATAATCAAACCAAAGATTAATCCAAACCACTCCATCACAGACTGTAAGAAAAAAAAAGTCCTGCGTTGAATAGCCAGGAAATGGCTGGTTCATCCTTCACAGGAAATGAGTCACCCAAAAGCATCCCCGAGGAGTGGGGAAGACAGGGAAGTTCTGAAATAACATGGACTGATAACAACAGAATAACGCACACAGATAAATCTCCCATTTTGTCACAGATTAGAAAGAAGGAAATAAGTGTAAAATATGAGCTCTTGTGATTATACCTAAAATTTTAAGTTAATGTAACTACTTGCAGCACAAAAAAATGCTGGTAGATATTGTTTGGCAGTCTGGTTAAAAGGTGAGATCAGAATGTGCAAGGGCAACACCAATAAAAAGTTCCAAGTGCAGATATACTTGCTTTTCAACTTTGCCCCTGGAAGGGAGGCCTCAAATTGCTGTGGTGGCACAGCTGTCATAAAAATCCAGCATAGGGAACTTTTAAACTGGTTAGAAACATTTACTTCTATTTAATAATGAAAGTATATGAAGCTCAATTCCAAACCAATTTATTTATCAATTACCAATTGGTAGACTTTTCGATAATACTTGATGCTGCCAAACTCTTAGGATCAGTGGAAAAAATACTCCCCTTGCTAATGATGTATACTGCTTGTAAACCCACACATCTGCAGTTAGAAAATTAACTTTTCCCAAGCACTGGAACTAACATAGCCAGCTCTCCAGCAATCCTCCATGTACCCACACCTCTTCCTCCAACAACCCCAGCTGTGTAGGTTTTGAGTTCTGCCCGTGATCCTTTTGGTCCTTCTTTCCCTTTCCCCGTGGGTGTGGGCTGAGTGAGAAGATACAGGTGCTCTCCATAGTTCTGAGCCATGTGTGAACTGACTGGCCCAGCAGAAGCCACATGTGTCTTTTTGCTGGACTGATAAAACGCAGCAGTGAGTTTGCCCCCCCTGCTAGCTCCAAACTAACGATTTCCAGAGCTGTGATGTGGCATCATGAATGATGCACAAAAGAATGTTCTGGCATCCTAAGATGTTGCTAAAGCTGCAAATACACTTTTAAACAAAAGAGCCATGTTAATTGAAAGTGGTTTAAAATTAATAAAACCAACAAAAATAAGCAAAAGCATTTGAAACATCCCCTACCCCCCAAGTTTCTTTGCAGCTATACTGGTAGCAAAGTTATGTATGAAACAGCTTCCTGGTTTAGGACCTTGCAGGGTACTGTGAATAATGGGGGAGGAGGGGAACTTGCGGGAAAACAATTGTCATTAAAAACAGTATCTAGGATATACCATTATGCACGGTAGTTTGGGTTCCTGAACAGGGGCCATATTTTGGGAGGGTTCTTGTTTTCAACTCACTGATAGAAACATTGGGTGGGAGAGGAAGGAGAAGGGGAAAAAAACTTTTGCTAGTTTGCAAATGAACATAGTTAGGTAAAGATGTGTCCTGTGAATGTACTGCAGGCTTCAGAGCTATTTTAAAAATACAAAGGAAAAAAGACAGGAAAAGGGTCTTTTTTGTTTCAGAGGGTTTTTCTTCCTTGCATGGTAAATTAAATTCAAAGAGATAACATTGGCAGGAAGGGTTTAAAAAGAGAAAAACCTGGGTGTGTCCCGCCAAGGCCTGGAGCCTGGGGAGGGTGGGACCAATTTGCTGGATTGTACAAAAGAAGCTGATTCATATTTTTTCCCTTCTCCCTCCTCTTTTTCACATGGGCATTTTCATGTGGGTTTCTTTTTCAAAAGAAACAACAAGATATACAGAGGCAGGTCCTTCTCCCAGATGTGGGGTTTTTTTTGTATAAAGTATTACTATGTTCTTAAATGCATTTTCCTGTTTGGCCCAGAGAAAGACAGCATTACCCGACAGTATCACTAGTCAGTTTGCTACCACAGTATCTGAAAAGATGCCATCTAAAAAATTCTGTTAATATCGCAGGAAAATGATAAAATGTTGCATAATCAGCATTTCTGCTAGAACTATGGAAAATCTGAGTGAGCTTACACAAATCTTAAAAGAGTCTTTTAAGCTAGACCACAATTGCACAGGAGAGGTCTTTGAAAAGTAGTAATTCTTTGATGGCATCCACCTGTGTTTGCTTTTCCAAAGATATCTGAAAAGCAGCTGGGATATCTGCACATGCAATAAACTGATGTCAATAGCTACTAGAAGATCAGATATTGTTCTTACTCATGATCAGTATCTATTATTAATGATTTTTTTCAAAGCCCTTGTGTTATGTTCAGATTACCTTTAGGGTATGATTTTTTACAAATGGGCTGAAATGCCCCATATTAAAAAAAAAGGAGTGATTCTGTGTCTGTACCATCTGCTACTATGGAGGGATTTTTTACTTAACAGTATATAAAACATATTAGTCTGAAGGGAAGATGAAGTGAAACACCTCCCTGGGAAATATAGTTTAAAACAGTCACAGTTTGAGAAAGTACACTGTGGCTTGTGAGATGGGAGTTAAATTCCTGCTCTGCTTTGATCAAATCATTTTATCTCTCTGGCTCTCAGCTCAGCAACTCTAAAGTGGATCACAGAATCCCATCATTTTCCCATTCTTTGCCTCATCTAAGTTGTAAATCTCTTATCTGTGGTAAAAACTGAGTCTTTCATATGCAGTACCTAGTAAAATAACTTTGGTTTCAGATGGGGCCTTTCATTGACTGAAGCAATAGGTAAGAACATACTTTTTCTCTATTTTAAACTTCACTGCTGGAACGATGGCCAAATGGCCGGGGCTCCCAATAACCACAGATCCAGAAATTAGAGCTACCAGCTCCTGGTAAAATCCAAGGTCAATGGAAGCCCTTGCATTTCACAATGGTGACAAGAATGAGGCAGTAAGTTGATGTCTGGTGCTGGCCACCAATATATCTGACCATTGCTCCACTCTTGAAGAAAATAAGGGATCTGGCTGTAGGAACTGACACAGTAATACATGTGTGGGAGAAAATAATAGATGACTTCACTTTTTTTTTTTTTCTTCCCCATATTCATGTGTCTGGTGTACGCTTCAGAAAGAAATGAGAATATAAAATGCATGTCTGTACCTGTCAAAGTTACCTGACATTAAGCAGAAACACTGCCCAAGGATAAGGCTCTGAATTTCATTTGAACTATATTTTTTAAATATTTTCCTAAACCTTCACATATGTAGCCCTGATATGGCTGTGTTACAGCTCAGGCACTTCCATCAGTGGCACCGATCTGTATTAGTGTTTTACGGTTTACCACTGACAATAGAGGCAGATTGGCAGAACTGTACAAATGTTTTCACAAAAATGTCAAAAGTGGGTGGGCTGGTGAGGTACAGAGAATCGTTTCTACAGTAAGACCAGTATTATGTTGCCTAGAAACTCTCAAAACAGGGTTGCAGCTAATGAAGCTAAGATCAATGTGGACTGGACATTTGATATTTGATTCAGTGCTACACAAGGGACTTGTAGAAAGGTCTGGGACAATTAATTCTTGTGCTGCAGTCAACAGATATGGGTATGACAAGTGAGGCAAAGAAAATGACTAATTGCTAGTAGAATTCCCAGTGAGCAAACATTGTCTATATTTAAACAGAGACAAGGAGCATTTCATCTATGGAAGCGGACTGCTGTACAGAATGTTGTTAGTGGAGAGGAACCAGCAATGTCCTGGTAGATGGAACGAAGTAAATGCACCGGTACGATTTACAGTGGGAACCAGATGGATGCCTGCTTCTCCCTTACTTTTTTTTTTTTTTTTAAGGATGTTCATCTTGTGGCACATGAATGAGCTCGACAATCATTTTTAAGGGAGCCACTGAAAGTATCTAACACAAGTAAGTCTGTTGTAGTAGCCTTAAATTTACCATAGATGGCCCAGCACCTGAAAAGGAAATCTTTCAGAGGTTTGAAAGTCCCCAAAGCTAGGAAATCCGTGGATTTTACCAGAATCTCTGTGGAAGACCTACAGGCAACAACACAAAATAAGAGTGCAACACGCTTATCTAATTAATCACTGAGGTCCACCTAACTGGAAAAAGAGCTGTTTTGGTCAGCAAACAGTGTCAGGACTGTAACTCAGGAAAAATATTATCCTGATGCCTCAGCAGAGCAGGTAGGTATTATGTCTTACCTCACAAGTTCTCTCACCTACTGGGTAATCTTTAAGACATTAACTGCAATTAAGCAGACTTTATCCTGGACCTTAAATACAACTTTTTAAGTGCCATTACAAGTCCCCAGGCTGGCCGCGCTAAATCATTAACCTGATTTCGGCGAGGAGCCCGCTCTCCCTTACTCGAGATGGCAAACGGAGAGGAGCGCGGCTTCCCTGCCCGTAGCCAACATGGCGGCAGCGGTTGGGCCGCTCCCGCCGGCCCGCGCTGCGGGTGACAGCACATTGTGCACACGCCTGGGCCCTTGCCCGTAGCCAAGATGGCGCCCAACGCGCTTATCCCGCGCCCTGCCCCCAATCAAGATGGCGGACCCGTGCGGCGGGTCGGCATCCTTCCCGCTCTCAAGATGGCTCCGCCCAGACCTCTCCATTCGCCTACCGAATCGCGCCGCGCACGGGCGCCCCGCGCCGTCCGTCATCTCCCTGCAGCCAATCGACTTCGCGAGGGGCGCCAGGGCGCCAACCCTCGGAGGCGGGCGAGCCCCGCCCCTGCTATCAAGATGACATCTCCGATAGCCAATGGGGCGTGGGCGCGGGTGAGGCGGGCCGGGCGGCGCCGCCATTTTGTGAGTCTATAACACGGAGCGGTTGGGTTCGTTCCTGCTATTCCGGCGCCTCCACTCCGTTCCCGACGGGTCTCCTCCGTGTGCAATGGACGGGTGAGTCCCCGCCGGCCCGGGCCTCGGCACAGGCGGCGCCGCGCCGGGGGCCGGGGCGCAGCGTGGCCGGAGCCTTCCCGGGGTGCGGAGGAGGGGAGAAGGCGGCCGACGTCCAGGACCCGCGCCGGGGGCTGGGGCGTTACCTGAGGGGGGGGGGGGCGCCGAGGGGGCGGCGGGGCGGCGGGCAGGGGAGGGGGCGATCGCCGGCGGGGCGGGCGGGTGTGTGGGGTGTTTTCCTGCGTGGGCCGCCCTCCCGCAGCCCCCCGCCGCGGGGCCGGGGGTGGGGGGGGGGTGGGGAAGGGAAGCGGGGGCGGCCCGAGCTCCGCGGCCGCCGCCCCAGCGCGGCGCCTCGTGCGGACCGTCCCCCGCGCGCGCTCCCGCTGCCCCCCCACCCTCCCCCCGCCTCGTGTTCGCGTACCGGGGGGGTCCCGCCGGGGCTGGGCGGGAAGCGGGGGGGGGGGGGGGGGGGGACGGGACGGACACACGTCTATCGCGAGGGGCCCCAACTGCGAGCGCCGCGTGGGCGTGGGGGGGGGGGGGGCGAGCGCGGCGCCTTGGCGGCCCGGCCCCACGGAGGAAGGGGCGGGGGGCGGAAAACGGGGTGCGGGCGCACCTGGCGGGGGGGGGACACGGCCGGGGCGGGCAGCTGATTCACGCCGGGGCCTTGCTCCTATTGTCTAGCGCTTTCGCAAGCGGGGGGGGTGGGGTGGCGGGGGGGGGGGGGGGTTTCTCGCTGGATTTTCTTTGTGAGCGGTTTTTCCATCAGCACAACTTTTGCATCCGTTCCCGAGGAGCTGTTACGCTTTCGGGCGCGCCGGGAGGCTCGGTAGGAGTAAGGTTTCCAGTGCCGTGTTACCTGAGAGCCGAAGGTACAGCGGCAGCGGTGGGGCAGAGCTGATCTCGTGCTCCCTCCTCTTCCTATTGTCCACTGCTGAGCTCCTTCGAGATAAAACTTCCCTCCGTTACTCTTTGACTCGTTTAGTTTTTCTAGAGTGCAACTTTTTTACCCCGGGCAGTGTTGATTTCTCTTTAGTTGCCACCTTGTCTGATATCTTGCTTCAGAACTGTTTGCTTTAAAACTGATGTTTTATCAAGGCAATTCTGTCAGAAACGAGGTCTCCATATTTCTCTTGTATGGCATATTTTTTTAGTGATCTGATTTTTGTTTCTTATACAGAGCAGTAGTTAAAATACGTCTAAAGGCCTCCGAGTAAGTAGTTTGTTTTCCCAGAGCCTTAAGTACGGGAAGCTCAAATTAGTGCCTCCTTGCTTCTTGCCTCTGAACAAGTAGTCTGGTGAGAATTAGGCGTAGTCACATGTCTGGGTTTTTTTACACGCTGAAAAAGTGGCGTCTTGGTGTTGTTTTCAGCTAAAAAAGCATAAAAATGCTTTATCTTGCAATTAATTTTTATAGTCCAGGATGCAGTTCAGGTTGCTCTGTTTCTTTTAACAAGTTGCTCATAGGTTGAATGATATTTAGCAAAACGATCTTCAGCACGTGGAGATCATACGTTCTAATGACAGAAATCAGTTTGTTATAAGCTGCCTTCCCTGTAGGTTCTAGGAAAGCTGATTTACTGTGTATGTTAAAATAATTATTATTTGAATGTAGGTCTTTTAGTCTAACATGGGTCTTAATTATCCATTAACTTTTGAAGATCTTGGTGCATGATCTGTTTACCCCGTGAAAGCTGTGTCGTGTTGAAACTTCAAAAGCTGCTTCTGAAAATGGTTTTACGTTTTTGCCTAGCTGGCAGTGAGTGGCCTCTCTGGCTACAAGCTTCTTCTGTCTGCATTTCCTACCTAAAATGATACGTGGCTGTGCTTTTCAAATGATCCTGTTTGAATAAGTGGCTTTGTTAAAGCATGTGAGGAGTTCATATGGGAAATGCTGCTTTGGAAAATGACCTAGAGGTTCTACTGGTGCTGCTTAATTTTTCCCCTTGTTGCGTAGGAATTATTCCATTCCACGTAAAAAGTAATTTTTATGAAAGGCTTTATTGCCTATTCTTTTGGAAATGAGAGGTTTTAATCCCCTGCTTAAGGTTGACATAAGAGAAGAGAATGAAGCTTAAGAATTTATTGAGGGGGGTGTGTGAACTGGAACTATTATTGCACAATTCTTGAATAAAAATTCTTAAATACTGTTGGTGCTTGTTTTGTGTGGTATTTGTTATCAATGGGTTACAACAATATTCCAGGCATTGATAGTTTTTGGCAAATAAGACAGCTCTTCCTGTTGGATAATTTAAAATACTATCCCCTGTTAAGGCTACTTTATGTAAAACATTTCCTGTGTGTGAGGCCCACAAGAGGAACAGGAAGTAAGAGAAATTGCTCTGGGGTAAGTTTGAGAGTTTTGGAAACTTGGGAGATTCCCTGTTCTTATGCTTTGCTGGAAATAATTTTTCTTTAAGGTTATGAAAATCACTGGGCTAATGTATGTATTTTAACTGAAGAAATGTGTACTCAAGTTTAGTAATCCTAATAGAATGATTATGGTTCTTTAAACTGATATGTGCAGATGGGTTTAATTAGTTCATTACTGCTGACCCTCAAAGTGTGGCAAAACCCATCTGTCTTCGTTGGTGACCAGACACCAGGGGATTGCAAAGCCCGGCATCTTCATGCAGAGTGTTCTTGAAGTAGTTCACTTGAAGGGAAAAAAAAAAAAAAAAAAAAGAAAAAAAAGAAACTATCGCGTGGCTTCCTGGCAGTAGCCATTGGATCAGGCTGTAACTCCAGCTGTAAAGTGCTGGGTTATGATGACATGGCAGGTTGGTTTTGAAGAGGAAGTATGAGGAGCCGAGCTGGCCTGTACTTGTGTCACAGCTTATTTGTGGAGCTGGTGAAACATGAATGACTTAAGATTGAGCAGTATTTAATTCCCTGAGAAGTTATGAGTTGTTGCAGGAGGGTAAGGAAGGAAGAACTAGTAAATGTAGGTTCTCTAGCATTAAATAACTTTGTAGAATTGTTCTTGAGTACTTCAGATTTTTATATTGCTGTTTTAAGAATGACTGCCCTGCTTTCTGCTTCTCTACCGTGTTTCCTTAAAAATTGCTGCAGCTCTGTTAGCCAGCCACTTTTGGATCCTTTCCTCTGAAATTATGGTCAGCTATTTGAGAGATTGGAGTTGAAACAGGCAGTGCTGCATATGTCAATCTAAAATAATCATTTCTGCTCTGCTTTGCATTGGCTGCTTTACAGTGGTTTGGTGTTTATAAAAAACAGATATCTTCAGTGCAAGGGTATAGCTGAAATCCTGAGACTGTCTTGAGCACTCCTACAAAAAAAGTAACTTGTAAGTGCTGTAGTACTCTGGAAGATTACCCAGGTACAACATGCCAAGCCATAGACTAGTCATTTTGATTCCATCAGCGAAAGAAGTTGCTCTGGGTTATGGTATATAATGTTCCCTGCTGATGAGAGCTATCACGAGTTGCTTGAGGTACAGCTAATGTTATTTTTCATGTTAGTCAGGAAGTCTCATTTTAGGAGGTTTAAGTGTATCTGGTTGAATTTAAAAACTTTTTTTCCTCCAGATCTGTGTTAGGGAAAAATACTGTTTGTTTTCATAAGTAGAAAAGAATTGTTAGAAGAACCTTATGTACAGGCGTACCCCAATCTGGGAGCTGCCTGGACCTCTTCCCCACTCTTTCTAATTGTGCTGTTAGTCTGGCAGTGGTCTGGCTCTGGTGGTGTTAGCGTGGCTGGAGGGCTGCTGTAAGCCTGGCACAGGCTCTTTGCTTGGCTGAGAAAACAGCCCAAACTCGGCGTGGTGTGTGCTGTCTGTCTGTGGAACCGCTGGAGCTATCTAGCATTAGTAGTCTTCACTATCGGCTCGATAATTTTGCTAGAGATAGTAACCTCTGCTAGGCTGTAAAGAGGCTCCTCTGACTATAAGGTGGTTAGGAACTGTAGAACTGAATATGGATGGCAGAGTTGACTCTTGATACTTTCGCTCTTGGTTTAGTCAGAGATGGTGTTCGAACTGCATCACGTTCCTGTGAAGAATGCTAGGCTGTGTTAACTGTGGGGTTTTTGGTCTTTGCCCCCCGTGGTACCCTTGCTGAAAGAGCAAGCTCCACTGTAGGAAGTGAAGAGCTGCCGTTTTCTAGCACTGCTGGGTCTTGGGTCTCCACCATCACCATCTAATAATTTTTCTTTGTATAAACTGTCCTTGCCTCACTTGCAAAGACAACTGTGCACTTTGACTTGCTTTTTTCTTACTACTGTAAACTATGCTGGATATTTGTGGCAAACCTATCTAACTTTTTTAATCCTTTTCTTTCTTTTTTCTACAGCATTGTCCAAGATATAACAGTTGGTACAAAGGTAGGCACTTCTCACTTTTTCTCTCTTTTTACACTGCTCAGCATCTGACCTAGTTTTAGCCTCACCAAATGTAGATCTTCAGCTTTAAAGGATTATTTCTGGTACCATGTAAATTGGTTTTAACCAGAAGGTAATTTAGTTTCATGTGCATTTAAAACTTTTATTATGGCTCAACATTTAGATCTTGGCATTTGGACATTGATTATCGACTGTCAGAAAAGAACTTTATTGCATTTAGAAACAGACCTTTCCCCTACTAAATGTCAAGCCATGCGTGTTATTTGTGTGCTAGACAATGCTTCTCAATGGAGAAATTGGTCCTTTTTCTTTTGAGAACTCTATTTCCTTTGTTTATGTGAATTCCCGTTCAGTTATATGTCAGAAATCCTTCTGCCACAAAAAATTGGGTGTTTAGCTATTGATTTTTCTCTTGCAAGTACAGTAAATATGACCTTTACCCTTATAGTCTCAGGTTTTGAAAGTGCAGACTTAGCCCTGAAACTCAAAGTGCTGTCAGGAGCCTCCTTTATCTGCTGTGCGTGGTAATAGGCTGTTGTGTTCACAGGGTAAAAAGCTCATTCCTGTGAAATGTTAAACTGGAATGTGCAGGATAGACTGGCACTCCTTCATGTATTAAAAGTTTTTCATTTCACTTCGTGAACATTGTAGCTAATGCTCTGGGATCAGGATTACAGTAAGTTCAGCCCTGTGAGTTCTTTTTATTAGATAGTATGTGGGTGAATGTTGGCCCTCAAATTAGTAATCTGACAGCTTTTTTTTTTAATGGCCCGAATTGTGTGGTGTTAGCATCTTGTTGACTGAGAGAATTGCGTGTGGCAGCTTGAATAGGCTGGTGAAGTGATGCAGTGTGTGATAGGACTAGTTTGAAGTAGAGTTGAGCTTGTGTAGTGTGAGTTAGGCCTACGTAAGTGAAGTAGGAGCATTAGAGAGAATTTGCTCCTAGATGGTGAATGGTTTTTGTGTTGGAAATACAAAATTAGGTGTGACTGGTGTTAAGCATAGGCATGTTTATTAGTGCTTTAGGGTTTCTGAGAGGCAATAAATGCGTGGAGGGGCTCCATTCAATAGCTGTCAGAGTAAGATTATTCCAACTTTTCTTCATACAAGAATCTGAAATTTGAATTAATTGTAGTGCCATGATAGCATCTGGTTCTGGTTTAGAATGCTCTATGCTGCAAGGAGTTCAGTTTGCCATTGGAGGACGAGGAAGAAAGGCTTGAGCCTGGACAATAAGGTTGGTTAATAGTTCATAGCTGTTATAAAAGTTGGACTAAGTCATCCCTTGACTGCAGTGGAGTAGTTTGATACATCTTCTAGTAGACTGATTAATCTATGTAAAAGTGTTCTCAGTTGGTTTTAACAATGTGTAATTTGTAGTTTTAGTTTTCTGCAGCTTTAAGAAGTGGTTTTACATAACTAAACTTGACCAGGAAGCTTCTGAAACTGTAATTGTAGTCCTCCCAGTGAATCTTGAAAAGCTTCAGAATGTGGTATCATCACTCCCATCTGTGGGGTGATTTCAGTCCCCAGTGTAGTACAGTCAGATGTCTAAAATGAGGATTGGGAGAAATCCCATCCAAGTGCTTTCACTCCTAGCACAGGACAGAACTGTAATAGTGATTGTGCCAGTTGTACAGTGGGATGGGGAGTGGTGAGACAAAAGCATGCATCAAAAACAAGGTTTCTTGTCAAAGTCAGACAGGGCAGGTTTGGAGAAAGTTGAATCAGAATTTAAAGAGTGGCAGAAACAAAAAGGAAAGTTGAAGCATCTTGATAAAGGTAAGTTTTAAATTTATTTTTGACATGGCCATGTTGTTTCATTATGTTTAAGTCATTGACTATGCCAGTGTAGATCATGTAATAGAAGTAATGTTAAGGTGTAACATGTTATATTTGTCATGGGTTTGCTTAGGTAAGTTAGAATCCTGTTTGCGCACAGCTAGGAAGAAAGTGAAGGTTTCTTTTAGGCCTGCATCCTCTCTGTGGCTGTTGGCAGGTCAGCTATGTCCGGGCAGTTTCCCCATACTCTGCTGCCTCTGTACTACTTTAAGATCCTCTGACTGCAGGACTCTTGCATGGAGAGAGGTATAGGCATCTTAGTTTCAAAAAGCTATGTAAACAAATCGTGTATCAATTGCTTTTTAAAAATACTTACCTTTGTGGTAAGTAAAACCTCATTGGCTGCAGGTCTTCTGAAATTTTGCTGTTGCTTTTGTGTGTTGCTTCCACTTCAATCTGCCTTCGTTTGGTTTGCCAATAAGTAGTTTGAAGGGATGCAGAAGGTTTCTGTAGTATCACAGAGCATTTCAGTGTTGTCTTTCCTGAAATACCTACAGTGATAGAGCTCTGTTCATCCATCAGCTTTTGTGTGATCTCTGGGGCATCACTGAAATCACTTTGAGGATTAACTGATTCCCCCCCTTCAGAAGCAGCTGTTCTTTTATAATTGCTTGATACTTAAAACAATGCAGTGGAACTGTAGTTTTGTTGTCTGACTTTATAAAATGTATTCATGGAAATGAGATTCAGATGGAGGTAGGACTACTCTGCTAGTGTCCATTCTGAAAGCTGTGCTCACAGCAGAGCTGCTGTTAGAGTTTCTGAAATAGACATGAAAATTTGAGCTAGAAAACCGTTTTTAATCTGAAGTGTAAACTTACTCATTCTTTCCTTGAAGAAGGTAGGAATGGAGCTCCATCCAGTTTGCTAAGGTGTTAGAAGATTACAGTCCCCAAAAGCTGCCAGCTCTTGTCATGCTTTAGGCGGTATGTTACTGAGACACCAATAGAGCTTTTTGATGTTCTGTTCTTGTGACTGGAATATCCCAAAGTTGGAGAATTCTCAGATGTGTAAGAAAAGTGTGTGTAACTTAAAACTGTTGAGCAAATTCTCGAAGATAACTTAGTGGCCTCTTGGTTGTGTTCCTGGTTGCTAAGTTTAAATTTGATATTGAGGACTTTGTGAAAGTATGTATCTCTTTGCTCTACTTCGTTTTAAAGGGCAAGATGCTGGTACTTTTTTAGGATTTTCTCACATCCTAAATTTACGCATTAAGGGTACTCACACCCGCTTCTATTAATTATTTTGAGGTCTTAGTTATATTTAGGTTCTGTAATTTAAGAAGTCCCCAGATGTTCTCATGGCTTACTACTTGAGCGTTGTAATGCCTGATGGTCTTGTTTTTAATCAGGATGGTAATTGTAGTAGGCATTCTTGGGCTTCCCATTAGTCTAGTCTGCAGACTCTTCAGTTTAAAGTGTGTGAATTTGTTTAGGAAGTTCATTACACTTCTGGTATGGGACTGGATGCACAGCCTTCTGGAATGTCCTGTCGATTAGAAACACATGAATCAAGATTTAGTTCTTCCCATAATTTCATTGCTGTCTGAAAAGGAAGGAAGTATGGCCCTAAGATGGAGGCACTGTATTTGAACTCTAAGGTACTAAGTCTGACCCCTGCAGTTGCCTGTTCTAAGTAATTTGATCAAGATCACTCTCCATCTCCTTTCCCTTTCTTTAATTTGCCTAGATATCACTATCTCTTTAGGCCTTAACGGTCTCTGAGCATGACTGACTTACTAGAAAGAGTATGAACTATGATACATCACTGTTCTTTAAGTTAAAATGCATTTCAGTGATTGAAAATGTCTCAGAATAGTCTTAGGTGCTGAATAACCTTGTAGTTCCTTGGTTAAATTAAGCTCTTTTTGAAAGATTATGCCTCCAGAAACAGAAAGTATACCTCTGTGGCATTTGAGAAGTTAATTTTTAAAACGGGGTTTGCTAGAGTGTGATACAGGCTGACTGCATAGAAGTGATTTGTGATCAAGCCAGGATCTTTGCCATGGGAACAGTAATTATGGCTTCAGGCAGCAGGCCAAGAATGTTGTGAGGAAATTCCAGTCCCCTCCTATGGCTTTAGTTAGAGGCTGCACAAGCTGGCTCTTGTGGCCTTGCTAACAGGCATGATCACACATGTAAGCCACATGTCAGTAGCAAGGTACATGGATGGTAGTGTCTTCTGGCAAGCATCATGTCAGCTGGATTTGGTAAATAGCTTGATCTAATCTGTGTCAGTGTTGCACACAGTTTTTATGCACCTGTGTCTTCAATTTGCAGATAACTGTCCTTCACAGGACAATTGGTAAACCCTTGTGTTGGATTATGAGAACTATTTAAATCTGTATTAAGTTTAACAGGAATTTAAGATACTGGTTGGAGCACAGGTGCTAAGCAAGGTTGCTACCACAGGTTTATCAGCTATTAGATACATTTAAAGCAATTTCTCCATCACATCTAAACCAATTTTTTATGTGGAAGCTAGCTCAAATTACTTGCACATGGAAAGGAAATAAGCTGTGACTCCTGTTGTAGATGAAGATGAGATTTTATGATACTTTCTAGAAATGATTGTTTCATAAAATGGTTGTAGAAAATACTTGATTTTACCTTCAGGCCTACTTTGCCCTCAATCTGTCATGAAAATACTTAACACATTAATTTATTCAACTTTAATCTTTTTAATCCCACAAGTGTAGGGATAGACCCTGGTCTGAGTCACTAACATATGTTTCAAGTATTGTCAAACTGGAAAATGTAGACCTGCTGGTGCCATGCTTGTTGTCATCTCACACCAGCAAGAAGAGTAAGCGTTATTTAATTTCAGATTCAATGTGGTTCTGGTATAGCTGTCTTTCAAGCTTCATATGAAATTTTGTTGAATACTGTGCTTAGTTAAGCAAATGTGTTCTGGTAATCCCAATGTAATGATTGCTTGGTGTTTGCCAAAGCAGATTGTAATTATTACACAATTGCAATTTAGATGAGATTGAAGTGCTGTGGAGTTCCTTCTAAACCTGTGTGTTCAATTTGTCCTTTTACAGCTTTGGGCACAAAATGTTCTTTCATAGGTTTCAGTTTCCCAAAGTGACTCATCCAGCAGTATTTCTTTTTGATAGTATTTGTATTAAGCTTTACCAA